AAAAGACTTTCATGCTTCAGAGTAGTCTCCAAAAAACTTCTTCGTACCTCTAAAAGTTGCCCCACTGCACCTTTGTGAGTCCTGAGGATTCTGTGCCTTGCAAGGGAGCATGAGGGAACAAGTCCCTATGGAGGCTGCTTTGATAAAAAAAATGTATGGAGGAAGCCCCCATAGGGACATGTTTCCTCATGCACCTTTTGAGTCACAGGGAATGCAAAGGTGTAGCAGGACACAACATGGAGTTAAGATAACTGCTCTCTACCACCAGCCAGCTGACAGCTCCCAGTCCCATAATTTGGCCTGTTCCTGCCCAGTTATGGTACCAAGAGCTTCCCCCCCCAAAAAAGCCCCATCACTACCAGCCAACATTCCCACCCCCACCCCCTGATTTGTCCTTCAGAAGTTACTGGTTGATAGATAATATAGTACAAAGAAAGCCAATGGGTTGCCTTTTGGGGATCTCTTTGTGTTTAATAACCTCCTGGGTCAATGCATTGTACTTTGGAACAATGTTTTTGTAACTAGCCGCTAATTTGAAGTTTCAGTTACTAAACAATCTTATCATTGTTTAACCCTGTCTCGGCTGGCAACAGTCCATATAATCATCTGATAATTAACTTGCTTCACATTATACATTATGTGATAGTTGCAAAATCCCCCAGCCAAATATACTGTACTTTTAACAAATCTTACTGATCAACGAAATTTTCCCAGTTTCCCTCAAAACTCATATGAGAGTTTTACATCTGTGTTTCATCACAGTATTTTCTAACTGAGCTTGGCAATTTGCTTTAGGAGAAATTCACTGGATATTCTAGATTATTGTTTTTAAATATTTTGTGAAATGGCTTCTTATTTTGACTGGCCTTTTCAGTGCCTCATACTTTTAGAAACATTATGGAAAACAAATGTTGGTGACACAAACACAAATATTTATTAGCAAAAATAAATTTATTCCACAAACACAGAGAAACAAAAATGAAACACTGGATGCTCCTTGTATCATTCCTTTGCTTCAGCTGGAGTGGAAGAATACAGAGGAAAGGCAACAGGCCAAGTTCATTTGTTTCTAAAGAAGCAAAAGCAAAGCGAAGCAACAAATCCCTCCCTCTCATTTTTCTTTCCAAAAATGGTTTCCTCATGTACCATTACAAAATATATCAGGGCTCTGAGGCATAGGGATATGAGCATATAGTACAAGCAGCACATTAATTATTGTAGTACCAAAGGAGATAGACTCAATAGTCTCTTTCCACAACAGCCATTAGGTAGACTGCCTAAAAATAGAGGTTCTAGGAAGTATACTTACAGGGGCAAGGAATCAGGTGGTTAGCAGATCATTTCCATTTCTGCTTTGCACACTATTCTCATCAGTCATCAATAAAGACAATATACAATGATTGGGGGGAAGAAAACTGCAATCCAAAGCTTACATATATGTAAATATATATAAGCTTTATAATAAATATATATAAGCTTTTATTTATATATATAAATAAAAGCTTTGGATTGCAGTTTTCTTCTCTCCCTCAATACATAACCCTAAAACATATCAGATGGAGATTATGAGCAGGCCCCATCTGCTTGTGGGAACAAGTTCCTCTCATGAAACATAACACCAGTGAAGGGGATGACAGAGAACTTACTCAAAAGGAATGTAGATATATCATTTGTGGCAGTCCTGCCCATTTTCAGCCTCTGTGTAGAACTGTATTTATAAAAATCTGTAATAAGGTTCTAAAGAATGTTTCTATAATAAGTCTCTATGCCTCTATAGTGGATATATAAGAGTGGGGTGCTAGAGTGATTAGTAGCTGAGGGACAGGATGCTGATTGGTTAGCATGATCGGAACGTTGTGGGAATGAGGTCTGTGTATCAGTTTAGAGTTGACAGAATTGGAGATCAACACAAGATCACAATGTTACAGCAATGAGTTAGATTGCAGACGAGAGTCAGAAGTCTGTTTTAGAGTTAAGTATAGTCTGTGCTAGAGTTTAAAAGAAGTCTGTCTATGGAACTTAGAGTGTGTGTTAAAACTGACTTCTGTAAAGAAGTTATTTTGATCTTTAAATATAGAAGAAATATATTTACATTTTATTCTTCAGTAACCTTTCTCATTCATATTTTAAAGCCTACTTTTTCCTTCATTCCTATTACCTGTGGTCCAACAATAAAACAACAACACCTGTTTGTTTAAACAAAACTCCCCTCAATATTTATTTTATGTTTACATAACAAGGAGCCCATACTACTAACAGACAAAAATACACATCACAAGAGGCTACATTTTAAACACCTGAATTATCTGTAATACCAGCTTGGGGCAAAGGAGGCTTTGGCTGGGACAGTATAGAAGGAACCCCAAAATAATGTATTTAGATGTGGATTTTGAGGGGTGGTTGTTCTTTCAGGCTGGTGCCTTCCTTTGTGGCATTAAGGAACAGTGTCCAGGATTTCAGGTATTGAAAGGTGTCAAAGATACCTGAGATATCTGCACAACAGCCTGCAGAATGCGTGATGTAGCAAGTGTGAACAAGGTCAGAAAGCACTTCCTTGGGACAGAACGTCACAAAAAGTGGTAGCAGCACCAGAACCCAAATGTGTTTGAGGAGATGTGTGTATTTTGGGATCCAAATGCTGGTTGGACCCAAAAGCTGAATTTATTTGTGAGGCACAAACAAAAAGTGAAAAGACAATATGAAAGATGAAAAGAACAGTGCTGAAGCAAAAGAAAGAGTCCTTATTGCTAAAGCTCTCTGTGAGGAAAAAGGCAGTTCAGGCAAGGACTGGGAGGAGAAATTTAATTTGCTAAAAGGGTGTGACTCTTCTAAGAAGTAAGAAAACAGGCTTAAATTGATGCAAAGGTGCATGAGGGAATGAATCCCAATGGAAGTTACCATAGAGAGTGTACGGAGGCAGCCATGGTTGGAATTTGTTTCTCCTTGCACCTTTGTAAGTTCAGGAAGGACTCACAATTCCCACAGTATAGCAGCAGACTTTTCTAACAGTTTGGTGAAGCAGGATGGGAATAGCATTTAGGTGAGGAGGCTGCTCTACCTCCTGCTAGTTTGAGGGCTTCCAGGGTTACATAGGGTGTTCCCACCAAACCCATTCCTACCACTTAGTCACTCAGTGACTTTTGTTAAACAGGTAGACAAGGGGAGAATGTACAGAGAGAAACCAAAGTACAGAATTAGACCAGAAACAAGCAAATACAAATGAATGTGATGAACAGTGAGAAAATAATTTTGTGCTGACTAATACTTGGAAATGCTCCACAGGTAACAGAAATAACTGAGGTAAAAGGTGAAAACAATCCAAATGAGTCTGAAAAAAATCAAAGAGAAATCAACCAGGTCTCAAATAAATGGCTTAATTGCCATTTCTCTGGAGGCTCAAAGTGCACCTGTGGCTGCCTGAGGAGTGTTTGATCCATTTAGCAGGAAGGTCAGCATCTCCTTGGGCTGGAACACTGCACCGCTAGTCCTACTTGAAAACAGGCTAAGAAAATGTAGATTCATGATTATTTTTCCTACTCTTAATATATCAGAAAAACACTAAAACATAAATTAATTTTCATTTCTCATGGTAAGAAATAAAAAAGGCACCCTCACCATCTTCAGCCAGAAATGGCTAACTGGCGATTCATAGGCTGGATCTGGCTGCTGAAACAGTATCATCTCATCTCTTGTGGCCAGAAAACAAGGGAAAAAATTGTTTCTTTTCTCACAGTCCCTCATGGTGGTTGTGGTGGGGACCAAGTAGCAAATAGGAGATAGAAACAAGTCTGCACATCAATATTACATCTCTTTGCATTATCCAGCTCTACAGAACACATATGGTTCACAACTATGAAGTCTACTGATACATAGTTTGTGCTAACCCTATTAGAGAGTCCAAGGAACTGTAAGGTCTATTTGTGAGGTGAAATACACTTCAAACCTGAAGATCATTGTCTGTAGAACAAAATCCCCTCATCCCCACAAGAACAAAGAAGTTCACCGTTCTGGTCTTAACTACAGTGGTGCCTCGCTTTACAATTGCCCCGTTTAATGAAGAAACCGCATTACAATGAACTTTTTGCGATTGCTTTTGCAATCACAAAACAATGTTTCCTATGGGGGAATTTTGCTTTGCGATGATCGGTTCCCTGCTTCGGGAACCGATTCTTCACAAAATGATGATTTTTCCAACAGCTGATCAGCAGTTTCAAAATGGCCCCCACTATTTTCTGGGATGGATTCCTTGCTGCACAGGCAGCGAAAATAGCCGCCCTATGGAGGATCTTCGCTGGACGGTGAGTTTACAGCCCTTTGGAATGCATTAAACAGATTTTAATGCGTTTCAATGGTTTTTTCTTTTTGCATTACAATGTTTTCGTTCTACAGCGATTTCACTGGAACGAATTAACGTCGTAATGCGAGGCACCACTGTATTAAGAAAATCTGACTAAAAGGCACTAACTATTAATTTAACGATCTTTCCAATAATGATACCTGAGAAGAGCTGACAAGTTTTCAAAAATGCACCAGCTGATTCACACTTAAGGTGCACAATTGCTGTAACAGACAAGGACAATAGAAACAGAATGATGACTACAATGCTTTCACCAGAGTACACGGACAAGGAAAATTTACAACATCAGAAACAAAAGCTCAGACCATTTCATTGTTTTACAACTCAAACACTTATGTACAATTTTTAAAAAGTAATTTTGGCTTTTAATATCATTGATAAACACAGCTAAGCATGAGAGAGTTCTACAGTAGATTAATGAACAGGGGAAAATAATCTTCTTTCATTAAACATTAAAATAGTTGTATCCCAGAACAGAAAGGAATATCCAGCAGTAGAGAACTGGATATTCTACACTAACATTATATGCTCTTTGCTTTAAGTTCAATTATTATTGTTTAGTGTTAATAGGTTGCCAGCCAATCAAACTTGTATTTAAAGTTACTATCCCTCATAGGTTACATATTAGCACCTGTTTTTGTTTTTTGTTTTTTTTAAATTATCATCATCTCAGTCACATTCTGGAAAGGAAAATGACCACCAGAAAAGGTCTGTCTGCTTCAAGGAGAGATTTTCAGAAAGCTTAATAGCTCCTTGGCACACACATACTGCTCCCCAACTCTGTCAAAGAGCCTACACCATTTGAGGTCCCATTCTCTTGTCTACAGAATGTAGACATCACATGATGCCAGCTTTATTCACACAATCTTCCTGGTTATCTAAGACTGAGTTATCCAGCCCACAAACTGGACAGTGGAAGAGAAAGAAAAAAAGCACAAGGAATGCAGAAGCTGACCAATTTAAATAATATAGAAACCAAAGAATTGAAAACCTCCAATCAGCTGGGGAAAGAGAAGAGAAATTGAGACAATAATGCTTTGTTCCCTTCATCTGTTTTTCTGCATATTTCTTTTCTAACAGTACAGATGAACACCATAAAGTTGAATAAAATTGGCACCACCTTTCTGTAACCAGAACTGTATTAAAGAAAAACAGTGCAGGAGATGCCACTGTTAAAAACATTTTATGTGAATTTGTGGGGTAGGGGGGAGGTCAGTCTCAATAATAATATCAATAAAAATCACACAGTGGATTTCAACCAGTGAAAGTACTTCACATACCCTTGGTTATTCTTACCACAGTTTTGTAAGGTGTTAGTATTTATTATCCCCTTGCTGCGGATAGTGGCTTACGGTTGAAAGAATACAGCTTCCCTTGATGGTTCAAGGGCCACCAAGACAAGGTTTGAATAGAATTATCAAGTTCCTAGATCATTATCACTCATATTTTTAGCCACAGCACTGTATCAGCTGAGACAGTTTGTGAGTAGGAGGACTAAGTCGTATGAAGGCACTTGTGTAAAAAGGAACAGGTTTTCTTGAAAATCACAGGCACGTCAAAATAAGGGGATGAGGGAGCAATGCAAAGTTTGGGAGAATTGCAGTTCTCTGAGGAAAGCAAATGGAACTTTATTTGCCTGTACCATCAACTACTCTCTTTTCATATTTTTCCATTATGAACATGACTGAAATAATTATAGCAAGCTCTTCATTACAGTATCTTATTTGAAAGGCAAGTTATTACAGGGATGAAGACTCTGCTATTATCATTTTTCTCTTTCCACTCTGTCTCACTTTCCTAGTGAAATGTGTCAGGCCCATTCACTTCTTACCCTCAGACATCAGGTGTCATTACCACCAATACATTATTTGACAGGGGCTGTTCCACTGTTTAAAGTAAACCTTGCTGTTTCCCTCTCTTCAGCGTGGTGCTTCAAAATTCTTCAAAATGAAGGCCAGTTAGCAATTAATTACAGTATGGAACAAAAAAGGGTGGCTAAGAAGTCTTTATAAGTTCCAAGATACCACTTACATTAGATCTTTCTTTTCAATCTGCCTCCTAAATCCAATCATCTTTCTAGCTGAAAAGTGTTTTTACATAGAAGCCAGAGACAGCCAGTGGGTAGCTTAGAACCATATGGTCATATCCCCCCAAAAGCAGCCTTCTGGCAGTTTGTCCTACACCTATATCTCCTATTGATTTCTACTCCTCCTCCTAGTGAATTATAGGAAATTGATCACAATGTATTAGAGCAAATTGAGTGATTGATAGAATAGCCTGAAGGCAGAGGTATCTGGGAAGTCATGGACTAGGTTGGAAATGGTGGTGGGTAAAATAAGAGTTGCAGTTGGCAGACTGGTTACCTGAATAGGAGCTGGGAGAGCTAAGAGACCATGGGAGGGGGAGAGAGATTGTGAGAGAGGAGTCTGTGAAAGAGGCTGCTAGGAAGGTAGCAAAAAGTGAACAATGCTGGCATTTTGATCATGGGGGAAATGTCTTATATTGACCTTACGTATTCCATTGTGCAAAGAGGATTGTTAGGAAAAGAGCTTGTACTCCTGACCACCATTAGTAGCCTGTTTCTTTAGACCAGTGGTGGAGTTTACTATGCCGTGTCTTCTGATCCACAGAAAAAAAATGTGCAGAATAGAAGAGGCAAATGAGAGGTCCAGGCCTGACTTCACTACACTCCAGCTCACGGGCACTCCCATAGATGTGCTGAGCTCCACCATTTCTGGCAACCACGCTACAGATTTAAGCCACTTACACTTAGTACCCAAACAGCAGTTTAAAGGGAGAGGGGTGCTGTTTTAACATCCGCTGCATACACAGCAAAACACACTGGCTTTATTGAAGGTAGTTTGATAATGGCTCAGAAAATTTTGAGTCCAGTTTAGTAAGAACAGATCAAGGCATTTTGCAACTCATTATTTTAGACTGTGCTTCTATAGCTAGAATTCAAGAAATAAGGACTGAGGTATCACTAGGATACTACATGACTTAAAAATACCCCCATGTATCAGGCATAAAAATTGAGCCTTCATTGTATGATGTCAACTTAGAAAAGCAGCATTTTCCTCAAGTCTCAAACTGTCAGTATGTGCTCTGAAAAAATAAACCCACTCCCTTTGACAATCAACAACTTGTACTCTAATACGAATACAGAAATGCAGGGTACACACATACGGCAACTATAATGGAACCAGGTATTGTTTTATTCACTGTGTTGGTCTTAATACACAGAAGTACCAATTCTCTCTCCTAGTTGCCATTTCCATACATAATATAGTGCCAAGTGACATACAACATGAACATGCACCCTTCACATCTGACCTGTGTGTTCTTGCATTTGTGTATCCGCAACTAGAGTATGAATTATGGCTGAAAAGTCATAACATCAAGCAGGTACACACCAGCCTCTTCCCTGTCCCATGGCTGCCGTGCTTTGGCTTTTTTCTCAGGCAACTGGGAAGCCTGACCGCCCCTTGCGATACCTCATACGCATGCGGAAAAAGGTGTACATGCCTAACAAACACATAGAGGAGAGAAAGTACAAAACAATACACAAGCTGATATCCAACTGGGAAAAACCCACTCCCAGTATACGGAACCACTGGTTCTTCCTTACGACGAATCCATCACTCTCTTTTTCAATCTCCTCCCCCATGGACCCAATGAGCTGCTGCGCTCTCCAGCCTTTATCTTTCAGCCGCTCCCAGGTGGCATCATCATCAAAAGGCTGCTGCCCTTCATCCTCCATCAGCACCAGGCCAGTGTCTCTCTTATTCCGCCTGTGCCACCTGCTAGCTTGGCCTGCCACCTTCAAGGCCTTGCTCTTGTAGTGCTGCTCACTGAAGATATCAAGATCAACAATTTCTTCCTCTTGCTCTTTGGCTTTTGTGCTCATCTTGATAATACTTGGCTTATGTAGCTCGATCAAGCCTAACCTTTCCAAGCCATTCTTCTTCTTCAGCACTTCCCCTTGCTCTGGTTTCTCTGTCCCCTTCTTGTCTTCCTCAAACTCCTCTTCACCTCTTCTGTGATTCTCATCTCTACCTCCTCCCCCCTTTAGCTTTCCCTCAGCTTCAGGGTCTTTCTTTTCAACATCTCGACCCATTCTGGGGTGCTCCCTCTTTATAAAATCCAAGTATATATTGTGCCGTGAAAAATAAGCTTTGAAGAACCTTAAGATTTCCCTCTCATCCCACATACGCCTTCCATTGATGATTATTTGGCATGATGAACACAAATCTTGAGGAGGCCACTGGATCTTAGGAAATTTGGGATCATCACTTGCAGTACCTAAAAAAAGTGAATCAGAAGTTCAAGACATTACTACCATGAAGCACTAAGGATATTCTTATGTATCCAGATGTTAGCAAGTCAAATTATGGAGAAAAACAATGGCTTGTGGGCAGTATTTGGCCACTAGAAAGTGAGCTGCTGGTCCCCATAGACAGGTTAGATGTGCTGGCCTACTGGCACATTGGTTAAAGCTGGAACAGCCCCACTTTAGTAGCTAGTATACCATATAGATTATTTGCCAAATCAAACTGAGTTTGCTTGGCTTTTTCACTAAGACATTTCACCACTCTTTAAAATTTATATGTGTCAAGCAACTATTAAAATCTGCTGAAAGAATCCTATTTCACTGTATGAAGAAATTAAATTTTGTTTTGTTTTTGCCAAGGAAAAACCCTAAACGAGTAGAGACTTGAAAAATAAGTAGTATTAATATACATACATATACAGGTATCACATGCATGCAACACATTTTCACACATACAAAGGCAGAGCCCTGAACTCTGGTAAAGAGGCAGCTGAGGGTAGGCTGACAGGAGGTACTAGGAAATGATGTTGTGCTTCCACAAGCCTTCTCAGATCATTCACTGGTGTGTTTGTTATAATTTAGATAACAAGTGCACAAAAGGGATATAAAAGGAGGTGCTTCAAAATACTCAAAAATAGTGCAGGTATATGTGTATATAAAAACTATACACAACCACCCACCCACCCCATATCTACAGTGGTGCCTCGCATAGCGATGTTAATCGGTGCAGCAAAAATCACTGCAAAGCGATTTTTAAAAGCAAATAGGAATGCATTGAAACCCCTTCAATGCGTTCCTATGGGCTTAAAACTGACATTTAAGCGAAGCTCCTCCATACGGTGGCCATTTTCGCCGCCCAGTAAGCGAGGAATCCATCCCTAAACACAGCGGGCGGCCATTTTTTTAACCTGGCGGCCATTTTGGAATCGCCGATCACTGGGGGAAAATCATCACTTTGCGATAATTGGTAAGCGAAACAGGGTACCGATCATTTAAAACATTGCAATGCGATCACAAAAGCAATCGCAAAAAGTTCGTCGGTATGCGATTTCGTCGTTAAACGGGGCGCCGGTTAAGCAAGGCACCACTCTGTGTGTGTGTGTGTGTTTGTGTGTGTATATATATACATATGTATACAAAAACAAGCTTTGGGGGTTGGCATCCCATGAATTAAAAAATGGGTCCTACTAATTTTTTTAAAAAACGTTTGGTGGAATCAATGTCATAAATTTATTTGGCAAATGAAAACATAATCTTTCTGTCTATGCACACAAGGTGTTCTTTCCTTCTTTCCAATCAAAAGGAAAAAGAACACTTCCACTTTATAAGTTGTTTCTTTCCCTTTGATCAGAATATGCAAAGATCATTAATTCTAGTCATTTTTTTCCAAATGTGAAATTAACAGGTGGACTCTTGCTGAAGTGCATCTGATTGTACTAATGATAACACCAAGCATAAATTACTGATTATAACACCAAGCATAAATTAAAATGTAAAAAATAAAAGACGGCTATTCTTCTTCTAGACACCTACAATGTTCAGGACCAAGTGGGAGGTTAGCCAGAGAAGTTATATGTTTTCTCAGCATGTAAATATGAATGACTGTATTACAATCATTGCATAAAATGTGGGGTCTGTGGAATCTGTTGAGAACCATAAAAGAATGCAAACAGTATGGTGTGTATCTGGTGAATGCCTGCGGGTTAAACCGCAGAAGCCTCTGTGCTGCAAGGTCAGAAGACGTGCAGTCGTAACATCGAATCCATGCAATGGAGTGAGCTCCTGTTGCTTGTCCCAGTTCCTGCCAATCTAGCAGTTTGAAAGCATGTAAATATGAGTAGATAAATAGGTACCACCATGGTGCTGGTCACTTAACCATGGAAGATTGTCTTTGGACAAAACGCTACCTCTGTGGGTTGGAAACAGAGATGAGCACTGCCCCCTAGAGTCAGACACGACTGGACAAATTGTCAAGGGGAACCTTTACCTTTATCTTTAAACACTGGCAATGTCAATGTCAAAGCTCTCTATTTACATTCACTGGTCTATTTCCATATTTTTAGACAGATGTGCAAGGTGACATCAGTACTCCACTGTCTATGCTAACAGCCACAGCCTTTAAGTCTAACCCACTGAACAATTTGAGGAAATTGTGAAAAGGATTTAAACTAATTGTTGCTTATTTATCTCAGACATGAAGGAATAAGGCAAAGGAGCAGGAACCATATAAAATGAATAAAACTTCAAATCCATTGTGAAGTTAAAGTACTTGACTTAAAAAGGTGGAGATTAGGTTCCTAAGATAAGGCAGAAAACCCTAAGAGAGAGACAAAGAGTCAACAGCTCCTTTGATTCCTCAGCTACATTGATCATCTCTCTTGCTCTCACAACAAGCATCCTGAGGTCAGAAGGAACAAAGGACTGCATGTGTGTGCAAAGAAACTGAGCATGTGGACAGCCGTCTCGGGAGGAGGGTCCTCCCAGGGCACATGTCGGCGGCCTTTAGAAGCCCCCTGCAGAAAGACGGATAGGATTTAGAAGCTGCAACTCTGGCTAACACCACCAGCTGCTTGTTGCTGTAATGTCAGGAGCTAGACCTGCCCTCTCACTCCACCTAATAACTGAACATTTGTGTCCGACATAAATTAGGTTTCACTGTGCACTTGTTCACCTTGTACTGTTTTAATGCCTCCCATTGAAAGAGGAGGCAAATTAGCCCTCTTAAGCTTAGTGAGATATGCCTGCTATATCTCCCTCTGAATTGCAGTATCCTGAAGGTTGGCATAGCAGGGGGTTGCTGGACACTCAGAGCCAGATACTATATGGCATATGGTATGTTTCATCCCCTCAAAGGGCAACGCAGTACTAAGAAAGATACTTTTGTTTCCATCATGATGAGAGATTTATCCTAATTTAGAGATGTTTCTCTCTTCATCAGTCACTCATTGCAAAGTAGTAAGAAAGATCAGCAGGCATCTTGTACCAAGAACGTCTCTCATCTTAACTTTCTTCCTGCATGTCACAGAGAACCGGCTACCATATATTTTCTGAGTCAGAACCCAGCACTACAGAAGGGAACCTGTTTGTGGAAAGTTGGTGGTTGTAACTGCACCCAGAAAGGTGTTTACAATACACAGCAGAAGTGAAAGCAAAACAGATACAAGATGGGTTTAAAAATCAAACGCATTTCCAAGTTCTCCAGCAGGTTTTGAACATATGTGTATGCATGTTCTGCTTCAAGAGACACTACTGAAATCCTTCTTTTTAAAAAAAATAGTTTCCATATTCTGTATTTGCACAATTATAGGTTGAAGGTTCCCACATAAAGAAAAACTATGACTCAAACACAGAGACAGAGCAGGTGAAACCAGTGTAACATTTGGAAGAGTGCAGAATTTTCCAGACTTTGCATCTTCCAGAAGTGTTGAAGTACAACTCCAATTATTCTCAGCCAACATGGTCAATAGCATATTGGTTGAGTATGATGGGATCTGTCCTCCAACACATTTTCAGCACACAAGGATGGTGAAGGCTGAAACAATACATTTCATCTGAAACAAGCTGGAGGTGGTGAAACTGAACCAGAATACAATGCTTTAAAAATGTGTATGATGAAAATTTTCTCTAAGGAAAAACACTGATATTCTAAATGCATAGGGAAATTCAGAAACCAGTTGATGGGCGTCTCTTGTCCACACTGTCTTTTCAGTCTCCCAGAGCTACGTACTTGCTTCTTTTCCTCAGACTACTGGAGGGCTATGAAAGCAATGAGTGACTGCTGCAGTGCTTGATCCTTGGCAGTCACAGAGAGGGCAAACTCTCGTCAAGGAAATCACAAGGAAGCCTGATAATATTCAGAAAGCTTCTGCCTATTCTAAGGCCTGGATTTAAAGATTTCTGGAATGCTAGGGTTGCTGCCGCTTTGGCTGCTTTCAAGAAAACAGTCTTCTTCTGGTCAGGGTTGTTTTAGTAGTTATGCGCCAAAGTGTGACACATCTTCTAGCGGCACAGAATAGAAGTGGCCACGGCGCTACAACTAGCGTAGAAACCAGGTCTAACTTTTCTGCCCCCTCCTTTTTAGGCTGCATGAGGAAACAGGAGACACTGTTTAGCCAATGACTTCTAAAGCGATAATATTCATATGATTATACTGAAATATACCTGCAGGTACCTCACCAGCAGTAAAGCTCTTACCTGCTAAGCGGGCATTCACCCTGTTATGCCTTGACCAAAGCCAGAGAACAGCACCATCTTTGTTCTTCACTTTGTGCATGGACTCTGCTGCCATGCCTTCAAAGTGTTCTGCACACTCCCGACAGCCAAAGAAGTACTGGACGTATCTTCTCATTGTAGGAAGGACCTCTGATGGTGCTGAGAAAACAGAACAAGAAAGTTGAGGGGGGGCACTGTTAAAATGAATGTTAACAGCTGGGCAGAAAATATGCCCACAGCTTGTTCTGTTTAACACCAGCTGATTACAAATTGGTACGTTTCCACCTACATTTCCAAAGAGCAGTAGTTTTCTGCTGACATTTCTGCTGCAGGAGTGCAGTACTATGCATGAATAAAATCAACAGATTATTATGCTGCCAATTCAAACCCAAACTGGATGGATCACTAAGCTGCAAAGTGTTAGGGGAAAGACACAGCATGCAGCGGCAATTAAAGGGGTATATAATCCTTTCTTGGCCTGACATTTACCCGTTCTGGAGTTCACAGCATTTATTTGCCACACTAAGAAAAGCAATTGGGGGAAGACAGATGCTTTAAGGGTAAATAACTGTGCGGTGTCTATCTTAAGCACCACTGTCCCAACTAGCACTTCCTCAATTTCCACTGCTACTTTGCACATGCTTGGCATTCAGTGGGGAAATAAATAAAGTAAGCAGGGTAGATGGAAATTACTCCTGGAGTAAATTAACACTGAGTGCAAAATGTGTACAAAAGTACAGTACACAGGGTATTTATATACCCTAGAATCCATAGTCAGTTTCATTTTTGTGTGCCCATTTTTTGACATTTATTCCTATTTGAATATATCATTCTCCTTCACAAGACTTTCAAAATACAAAACTTACCAAGTGCAATTGCTTGGACGCTATGTGCAAACTCTACATGGAAACAGTTAGGGACACTTTAAGACACATCTGCTGGTTTTGAGGTAAGGCAAATTTGCCTGTTCTACAAAAAATTACAAATACAGCAAACCTGAAAGTTCTACAGCACTTTTCATTAGACAAACACAGCATCAACCTTGGGATTGAAGCCAAAAGCCAAGTATTGGACCAGATATGATGCGCATGGCTCATGCAGTCAGACTGCCAAGAAAGAAAAACAAAACCTTAAATTCTATAAGACAGGGATAATAACGGTATCAATTTATACTTCCTCTGAGTAGATCTGCCAATTGCAGATCGGTCAACTGCCTGATGCCCCAAACAAAGTAAGGCAGGCTGCTGTGTAGGTGGGAGGGGCTGGGATTTTGTCTTCAATGAGGGAGAAAGCCTGTAAGTTGATACCTTTGCTACTTCCAGCTCATGTACTTAGAATCTAAAACTCCCTTTTTCCTTCCTGACAGTCTGACTGCATGAGCCAGTGGATCACAACTGATCAAATTTTTGTACTTTCTGCCTGACCCTCATGCTTTTTTACCTCATGAAGAGTTCTGGAGAACCTGAAAACTCAACCATTTGTAATTTTTCAGTGATTCAACAGTTCAGAGCATTGCTGCTATAAAGGATCATATATATGGGTATTTTCTGTAACTGACTATGTATGAACGTAACAATGGTGAAGAAAAAATCAGGACAGGGCCATATGGTCCCCCCAAAAAAGAGGTTACTTATCTGTAACCATGGTTTTTTGAATGGTTCTCTGTGAATTCACACATATGGGTATTGTCTGCACCTGTGCTGACTCTCTCGGAAGATTCTAGAGCTAAAAGTAACAATTTTATGGTGTGATCCTCCATGAGGCATATGCTCTTCCCACCCACCATCTTCCTCAGTTCCAAACTTATCCACCGGGTTCGAAGGAAACAATTAATTAAGTAGCCAATTAACCCATGACAGATAGTGGGGAAGGATGGATGGGTTGTGTGAATTCACAGAGAACCACTCAAAGAACCATGGTTACAGGTAAGTAAACTTTTTCTTTTTCGTGGTCTCTGTGAATGCATACATATGGGTGATTAGCAAGCTGCACTTACCGGTTGGTGGGTCGTCACGGTAAGAAAGATGACAGAACAGCTCTGCCGAATGCAGCATCCTGGTGTGCACTGACATCCAGCCGATAGTGTTTGACGAACGTCGACGGCGTGGACCAAGTGGCAGCACGACAGATGTCAGGAACCTCGGTGCCACATTGAAAGGCAGTAGAAGTGGACAGCACCCTGGTGGAATGAGCTGTCAAAGAGTCCAGAGGGGACTTGCCCGCCAAGGTGTAGGAAAGGGAAATAGTTTGTACAATCCAATACGCTTGAGGGGTGATGACGGAGAGTTGAAGAAGCAAGGTAGTATGATGGGTTGGTTGAGGTGGAAGTCAGAGACCACCTTAGGAAGGAAGGAAATATCAAAATAAAGAGTCACCTTATCAGGGTGGAACTGGATAAACGGAGGATCTGCTCGAAGGGCAGCGAGTTCACTGGCCCGCTTGGCTGATGTAATTGCCACGAGGAAAGCTGATTTAAGGGTTAAGAATCTGAAGTCAATAGATGCCATGGGCTCGAACGGGGGCTGCATCAAGGCATTGAGGACGAGTTGTAGCGACCACTGAGGGGTGATACGTTGTTGAGGGGGGCGAATGTTATTGAGCCCCTTGAGAAACTTTTTGACAGTTGGGTGAGAAAACAACTTGGAGGAAGGGGAATCGTCAGGTTGGTGAGCCATGATTGCTGACAGATAGACCTTCAATGTGGACTGGGAGAGGCTGAAGCCGAAAAGATGGAGGAGATACGCGAGGAGAGTTTCCAAAGAGACAGGTATGGAAGGTAAGTTATTGTCCTGGGTGTACTTTAAGAAAGACTTCCATTTGTTCTCATACAGGAGGGTTGTGGAAAGTTTACGGGCCCAAAGGAGGACGTGCATGACGTCGGGAGTATCCTCCATGCCGTGAGGCTGAGAGAGGCAACGTCTGGGTGAAGAACGAGGCCGTGGTTGTGCGACAGGAGATCTGGGTGGAGAGGAAGGCGGAGCATGTCTGACGACATCGAGACCAGGTGAGTGAACCACGGCTGGCGAGGCCAGCACGGGGCTATGATGATCACGTTGGCCCTGTCCTGTTGGATGCGAACGATTACCCTCTGTATGAGAGGCAGAGGGAGAAATATGTAGAGAACATCTTGGGACCAGTCTATTAGGAACGCATCTCCCAGAGAGTTGCTGCTCTGTCCCGCTCTGGAACAGAACCGGGGACATTTCTTGTTGCCATCGGTTGCAAAGAGGTCTATTGAAGGAGTACCCCACTGTCAGCGTAGCTGGTGAAACACGACATCGTTGAGGGACCACTCATGTGTCCTGGCGGGTAAGCAACTCAGTCGGTCCGCCAGGGTGTTGTCGTCCATGGAAATATGGACAGCAATGGGGAAAACATGGTGGGAGTAGCACCATTCCCAGAGGGTAACAGCTAGGTAGAGCAGAGAGGGGGAGTGTGTGCCCCCTTGCTTGTTGACGTAGAAGAGTGTTGTCCGTTGCTAGCTGCACCACTTGGTTCCTGATGCGGGGAAGAAAGGCATGGAACGCCTTGATGATTGCCAATAGTTCTAGGTGGTTTATGTGCAGAGACCGCTCTCGGCTGGACCAAAGTCCGTGAACTGTGTGCTGAAGGCAATGGGCACCCCACCCCGTGGGGCTGGCGTAGCTAGTGATCTGTATGGAAGGTCTTAGAGGCGAGAAAGGTCTGCCGACCAGCAGGTTGTATGAGTGGAACCACCAGTCGAGTTGAGCGACTAGTGCCGGTGTGACTGGTAACAGAGCTGATGGGGGGTCTGAGGAGGGGTTGAAGAGGGAAAGGAACCACGCCTGTAGGGGCCTCATTTTGAGTCTGGCGTGCTGTACGATGGCTGTTCTCGATGCCATAAGTCCCAGGAGGTGCTGGGCGTGATGTGCTGAGACATAGTGGCGTGACTGAAAAGGGCAGATGGCTTTTCGGATTTTCTCGATTCTGTCCAGGGGCAGAAATGCCCTTGCCTGACTCCATGCCTATGAACTTGGCCGTCTGTCGTGGGGTGAAATGCGACTTTTCACGATTGACCTTGAGGCTGAGTTTGTGCAGAGTATGGAGAGTTATGTCTCGAGCTGTTATGGCGTCGTGGTACGATGCCGCTACAATCAACCAGTCGTCGATGTAGGGATAGATGTTTACTCCCTGTAGCCGAAGGAAGGCTGCTACTGGCGCCATGCACTTTGTGAAAGTCTGTGGGGCGGTGGAGAGCCCGAACATGAGGGCACAGAATTGGAAGGCAGTCCCGTTGAAGTGGAACCGGAGGAACTTTTGATGATCCAGGTGGAGGGATATGTGAAAGTAGGCGTCCTGAAGGTCGATGATTATGAACCAGTCTCCCTGAGAAAGCAAAGGGATAATAGAGTCCAGGGT